GCCCATCAGCAGTGGTGGTTGCGCCTCTGTGATCAAGTATTTACGAAGGGGAAAAAAAATGCTCTCTAATGGCAGCTGAAGAGAGGAGAGAGAATATGTGAGAGCAAGGACACCAAGTGGACACCAAGGTCAGTGAAGAGGAAGGGGAGGAGGTGTATAGGCAGGCACCAGAGCAGGGATTGCCCTGCAGCCCATGGTGAAGATCACGGTAGAGGCAGGCTGTCCCCTGGAAGCCCATGGACATTCATGGTGGAGCAGATGTCCACCTGTAGCCCATGGATGATCCCACACTGAAGCAGGTGGATGCACCCAAAGGAGGCTGTGACCCTGTGGGGACCCCATGGTGGAGCAGTCCATTCCTGAAGGACTGCACCCCATGAAAAGGACCCAGGCTGGAGCAGTTTGTGAAGAACTGCAGCCTGTGGGAAGGACTCACATTGGAGAAGTTCATTGGAGGACTGTCTTCTGTCAGAGGGACCCCACACTGGAGCAGAGGAAGAGTGTGATGAGTCCTGCCCCTGAGGAGGAAGGAGCGACAGACACAACGTGTGATGAATTGACTGCAACCCCCATTCTCCCTCCCCCTGTGCTGCAAGGGAAGGAGGAGGTAGAGAAAATCAGGAGTGAAGTTGAGCCCAGAAAGAAGGGAGAGGTGGAGGGGGAGGTGTTTTAAGATTCATTATTTTCTCATTATCCTCCTCTGGTTTGATTGGTAATAAATTAGATTAATTTTCCCCCAGTCGAGTCTGTTTTGCCCATGATGGTAATTGGTGAGTGATCTCTCTCTGGCCTTATCTCAACTCATGAGCCTTTTGTTATTTTTCTCCCCCTGTCCAGCTGAGGAGGGGGGTGATAGAGTGGCTTTGGTGGGCCATACAGCCAGGGTCAACCCACTGCAGGAGCTTGGATACCAAAGCAGTTGAAAGGGATGAATGGAAGGCCACATGTGTGTCCTCTCATTGAAATAGTGCAACTTTTCCCTTGAGCACTGCTTCTCACCCTTCTGTCATTGCTGTTATTCAAGATGTAGCATGGGTGATTTGGGAACACTTCCAGTCCTAATGAAATTATTCACCACTTCTGAGAATGGGAGATTAGTCAGGACACCTTTCCTTTTACATGGAAGGAAAAAGCTGTAATATAGCAGTGAATAAGTCTTTAAACATTTAAACTTTAGAAGCTTCTGAGCTATAGTGGATGATGAAATGGGGTTGTACTTGATCTAGAAGCCAAAAGAGCTGCTTTTGCGATAGAAATTAGCTGGCAGTAGGGAGAATCAAATCTGAAAGGTGAACGTGCTGTGGCCAATTGCAATGCAGCTCTGCTATCTGGGTTGTGTTTCTTATCTTACATCTCCTTTACCCTAATGTGAATTGGCCCTTCTCAGTGGCAATGGGTAGCATTCATTTTCATAACTGAAAATAAAACTTGTAGCTCTTCAGTGGTTTTCAGAAAAAGCTGTGATTGCAGTCTGTCTGATATTTCAGTAGCTTATCATGCTTAAGTTCATTAGAAATCAGAATTTGTCACTTCTGTTTAGCATATTCTAAAAATTATTTGGAAGCTAGCTACAGATAATCAACTAGGTAGATGCATCTTCTCATTCTTGTCAGAATTTCACTGATTTGCAAGGCTTATGTCCAAGTTAATAGAACAGAAAAGTCTCTTAAGATAAAACTTTGGACATGTGTGTGACTGTGTATTGCTCAAACAGTTGTAGGAACTGAAATCCCCTTAATGCTGATGGTTCTCCTGCTGCCTCCCTTTGCTTTTTGCTCTTCAAAGATCACAAAAATCTGTTGAGGGAAGGGTTCTGCACACTTCCCAAGTGCTTTGTGCCCAAAGTGGTTTATTGTAGAGGGAATAACAGTCAAATCCCTTATTTAACAGGGATTATCTTTCTTTTGTTCTCATTCCCTTTATGCAAAATGATAAAACTCCTGTGAGTCAGAACAGTGTTATGTGGATAACTTGTGCAGACGTGGTTAATGGAACAGAAGCCTGTAATCTGATGCATATGAGAGCAAACCATTAGTCTTTAGAAATTCTGGTTTGAGTCCCCCTTGCTGCTATTTTCACTTTTACTCTTTCCTGAGAGGGAATTGCTAGGGAAGAGAAAAAAACAAGTCCTGATTTCCGCGCCCTCCCCCTCTTCTATTGGAGGAGGCTAACTAGAAATGAAGTGGAAAGTTAAACTTTCCTTTTGTATGTTGGGTTAAATTGAGTGACAAAGTTGAAACTGTCAAAAGAAAACTTGCTTTGTAGAGAGTTTGCAATGTACATGTGGAATGCCACTGCAGCATGCCAGTTGGTTGGACTTTTAGTATCAAGAACTTGGAACATACATGTTTGTGTGTGGTACAAATGCCAGGAGCTGGTAAGTTCTTACTCCCTAGATAAATCTTCAGAATATTTGGAAGTTCAAGATGCAGGCTGGCTGCTGCTTATTTGAAAAGGGAAAAAATAGTAGGGAGATGAGATTTTTCTTTACTGGTTATCTTACAGTGAAGTTTATTTCTCTACTAGCTGCTGGTACAAACTGCTGCTGACAGGTGCAGAATAGGTATCTAACTAGTCATTGCCCAATTAAATTGTTCCATCAGTGTGTAATACTTCTGTTTAAGTAAATAGAAATTACATTATATCTGCATACTTAGATGTATTGTTAGGTATTCTTCAGTTCCCAGAGAGGAGGGGGGGAAAAAAACTCCAACAAATTATGCCAGCAGAAGTTTTTATCAAACTTCAAAATCTGGTCAGTCTAGCAGTAAAGACAAGCCTTGTAGTACTCATAACTGAGTAAAACCACTTCACACTGAGCTGAGCTTGGAAAAAGGTTACTGTATATCCCTGTTTCATGCACTTTCTGCAGGGCTTGTTTCGAAAGGGTAGTGGTGAGTAAGGTAGTTAGAAATTGGAAAAAGACTGCCTGTTTCTTCTGAGGACCTGCTAGGTCTGTTTTATGTCAGTAGGATAAGCAGAGAACGGTCATTTGTGTAAGATAAGCATAAGGTAAGATAGCCTGTAAAAGGAAAAATGTGTAACTGTCTGCAAAAAAAAGTGTGGGGGGAGGGGGGACATAGTCTCATGTGTATTAAGTGTCATCATTGGCAGTTTTCTCACTGTATGCAAGTAGTTAAAGTAGAGCTGAGTGGATCTACCCCTCATCCTAACTAAGATTAGGGAATTGTGCAAGGTGCTTAGTATTAGTAAGTCTTGTGTCAAAATACCTCTGTCAATGAAACTGTCCAAATGAGGATTACTGAATTGGAGAGACTCTGGCAGGTTTTTCCTTTCTGTAAGTATAAGGTTTTGTACTCAAGTGTGGGTTTAACTACTGTCAGAGAAGGAAGTAAGTGGAGAAATTTGGAATATTGTCTCTTTAAAATGGGTTTCTGAGTAGCTGCTGATACTGTTAAATGGGTGAACTGCTTGTTTACTTAAACACTTCTTTGCAATAATCACAGAAACTCTTTAATTTCAGAGTCCTCAAACCTTTCAACCTCCACTGATCTTGAAAGTTGTACTTGTGCAAATCTCACACTTGAGAAAAGAGCGGGTGCTGTGAAAACATGCTGATTGCTGAATGCAGAGAAAATTGACTTTAAAGAATACGGTGCTTCAGCTTAAGCATAGGACTAGCACTTTGTTAAACCATGTACTCATGGCACTGAAACTCTAGGAATACTTCATTGACAAGCATATGGAGCTCTCTGGCTCACTCAACGCAAATGTGCTGAGCTACAGCTCTGTCTGGCACTTATTCCCCACTAGATCAATGGAACGGGTAACTCCAGTGTCAGTGGAAGCTTTGAATCAGACTTGGAGAATCCAGAGAACTTGAGGATAGAAAGGGCTTACTCACAAATCCAATGGGTGGTTTTATTTGCTTTGATGTGGGAGTGTGCATAATGTTTTCCTAGGCCTCCTGTTTTTCTCTAAGGGATCATTCCGTAATTCAGTAGTTGTATAGGGAAGATTCCCTTATCATTAAGTCTCTGCCAGGGTTATTGTGGCACCACAAGATACATGTTCTTCTGGTTTATCCTTTTCTGCTGTCACTTGTAACGCTTTAATTTCTCACTATTTAGTGCTCCACTGCACCATATGTATTTAGCTATTTCCTAGTCCTGTGTTTCACTAAGGCTATTGATTTCTCTGTCAAACTCCTGCACTTTCCTTAAATGTTTCTGCACATTCAGGTGTCCTTACAAAGACATTATATGGAGACAAGATATCAAGCTTGTTTACTGAGCATCAGTTTTCCATAATTCACTTGTGAAATAATGCACTCTACAAAATACTGCCAAGCAGAACTTACTACTTAAAACATGCTCTTTTTTGCAAGTGGTAGTGTAAGACAAATTATCTTTTTATTTGCTGTGTGTTATAATCCATTTTTCTAGAGATTGAAGAAGTGGTACCTTCTGTGTGTTATAATCCATTTTTCTAGAGATTGAGGAAGTGGTACCTTCTGTCAGGCAGGCTCTGCTCCCTAGGCTAAGTTGCCTCTGTTCATGGAAAGGAATAGAGCACAGTGAAATGGTTATCAGTGTCAAGTCCTGCTAGGCAACCTGTCTTAGACTTGCTTATCTGGGATTAGAAAACCTGGCTACTGAGTGGTGCAGTTCACTTATTTCTTTTAAGAATTGTTTGTGCTTTGGTTAGTTTTCAGGTAATATTTAAAAATGCAGACTTACAATAACAAACTGTAGTGATTAATTGTAATCAGTCTTATGGCAACCTTTTTAAGAAAGCATCTTTTGTCTTTATCATAAACCATGTGAAATTTGTGGCAAAACTAAGTTTCAGGAAAGCTAAAGAGCCCTTAAATTACCTTGTAAGACCTTTGTGAGATGTTTAGCCTGTACTGTATACGTTGGAAACTGAGAATATACTTTAGACTTCAGCTGAGACCTGAAACTGATTTCATGTTACTACTTAAGGCATTCTTCTAACTAGGTAGTAATATATTGCCCAAGTGGACATAATTAAAGCTTATGCTTTTTCCTGTTTATACCTCACATCAGGAGTTACCTGCGAGGTAGGTGTTGATGGAATAAAAGGCATGGATCTCTGCAAAGCTGTACTTCTGGTGTCAGACTCTGCCATTTTGGAAAGAATCAAAACAAGATTTTGCACTTACCAACTCTATTTAATGACACTAGAGATTCACTGGATACTATTCTAATGTTAATTTGAAAAAGATGTTCTGAAATCTGATGTGTAAATTCCTACTGGGATAATTTAGCCTTTACTTCATTAGCAAAGGGAATGGGTTTTGAGAATTGTCTGTACCATTTTATTTCTAAATTTATTTTTTTCTAATACTTCTGCATTCTTGGGACTAGCAAATATTAGTTGTTTTTTAATTCAAAAGGTATTTATTTTTTAAATACTGGCTCATGACAAGTCAGAACTTGCAGTATGATCACAAAGAAGCCTGGGCTGTGCAGCTGTTTGGCTGGTTTGATAGACAGGATGTTCTCCTGGCTTTGGGAAGATGTTTGCATGCTGAGGAGTCATTGGGAAGCTTTTCCATTGTCAAACTTGGTGTTTGAAAGGGTTTTAAGATTTTTATTTTTTTTTAAATATGTCCGTTTTTTAAAGAAGTCTAGGGACAGCAATATTGCCAAAGAAGTTTCACTGGGATTGCACAGTGTACAAGTTGGATCAATATTTTGTCCCAGTTGTATTTCTGGCAACACTTTGTGTGCTAAGCACAACACTTTCAGTCTTGTGCAGCATACTTATTTATGCCTGATGAGAATGTATTCAAATTTTGTAATCTTCAACTTGGAACAAGGCATTTTTGCCCATTACATTGGGCTAATACAACCAACACCTTTAGTTGAGAACACCTTTAACATGGTGTAGGAATTCCAAAAGAATTGTATTTATTCCTTCTCTCACTTACTACTAACCTTCTGAATTTCTTCAGATCGCAACAGGTTGCCTTCAGGAATTGTAAGAAATGTCATCTTATGGACAACAGAAACAACTCCAAAGTCAGTGGATAAAATATTGGCATGGGAGCCAGGAATTCCTTATTCTGTCTCTTCTATTCTGTAGAACAGCATGTTTTGCTCTTGTGGCTCAGTTGACATGTTTGTCTGAAAGACAGAGCTCTTCAAAATGCTTATTGTATTGGCTTTCATAGTGGACTCTTGCCCAGAGATTTTAACTGGTGAAGAGTTTAAGATTACAAACATCCATTCTCCACTTTACTGGACCTGACTGATAGCCTGTGGTGAGGCAGCACTGTTACAAGGCTCTGTGCATAAAATAGAAAAAATAGTTTAAGTACAGTTTTTTTCATCTCTCCACTTAAAAGTAGATTAGAAATGTCTTTCCGTTTTGCCCTCTCTTCTGGACAAAGAGGTGGGTGGGATTTGTTTTACAGCTGTGATACTGGGATCCTCACCTGTGCAGGGGAGGTGAAAGCACCTTGGTCTGGTATCATGCCAGTTACTATAAAACTTGGTTTGACATATGATCCTTGATCAGGTGAATGCTCAAAATCACCTTTCTTCTCTGATTTTAAACAATAGGAATGTTGGTCATTTTGTAGGATCAGTTCCAGATGCTTTGTTCAGGAGATTGTGTTAGTATAAATGCTGACCAGCATTGGTAATAATCTTTTAACACTGGGAATGTGACTCTGGAGAATATCTTAATCTTTTACATAAGTTGGTTTTATAACAAATCATGCACCTTGCTGAAAGCACCCTGGTCTGTCAGCATCAGCTGTCGAGTCCCTTCAGTCTGGACCTGCTAAAAGTCTTTACGAGTTGAAGGCAATGTTGACACTCTTTAAATGAGATAGCTAAATGTGAAGCTATTTCTCCAAGTATTAGATGAGGTGTCATGTTTTGCAATTGGCTGGCTAATGATCTGCCTTCCTGCCTTTTGCACTGCCCTTCCATGGTAGGTGATCATAGTCTCTATGAATTGGGACATTTAACAAAGGTAAACATATGTATGCTTGTTATAAACATCTAGATATAACTTGTTAACTACTGCCTCTTGATGGTGGCCAAATGCAACTAATTGGTTTGGGGTGATTAATGTGTAATTTGTTCTCATATACATACTGTGACTATCAGATAAGTAATTTTTAAAATTCATAGTATTTACAGTATTCTTGTATTTATCAAGAAGATGAAACAAATGTACTGTTTTAAAGGACGCTTGATTCCTAGCTTTGAGGATGTGTTCACTTGCTGTTCAAACTTCAGTTAAAGGGCTGGTAGTTACTGCCTGATGTGGCAGGAACTGCAGTTTAATGCTGGAATAGGATAGCTGCTGAGTAGTGAAGTTTGTGCTGTTTTTCAAAAGCTGTTGTCAGACATGTGTGATGGATATTGTGCCTAGATGGCCTCTTTGAAGAAAAAGCATTTTTTTTGCATTTTACCAGTTCACTTATGTAAGATCAATTACTATCGCTGTATACTGAGTCTTGCAAAAGAAAAAATAATGAATAATCTGTTCTCTTCTCTTACAGACTATCATTTTACTCTGGCCATTCTTCTTTCTCCATGTACTGCATGCTCTTCCTAGCAGTAAGTATGCTCTTTCCATCTAAATGGCAACAAAAAATCTGTTAGTTACCCAATACAAAACTGAAATATTTACTTGGCTGCTTTGCACAAAGGGATGTTGCTTTTGTAGGATGCTTGTCTGAGATAATTGGTAATTTCTCAGTAGGAGTTGTAAGGGAACGCCACTGATGCTGGGACAAGAAGTAGAACTATGTTCAATATGCCTAAAAATACTTAATATGGTAGTTGGTTTGTGTGTCTCGTGAGCCTAGTGGCAAGTGGGTTTGGGAAATATACTGCCACTTATCTTGAAAGTATCACAAGTCATAAAACTAGGTAGTAAAATATGTCTGACTTCATCAAACATGCAAAGCCTATTTAAAAAAAAAAAAACAAACAAAAAAACCCCCTGAACTTAAACCCTGATCAAATGTGGGTGGGCCCATAAGCACAAAACAGCAGATCCACATTAATTTTTAAATTCCTTTTAGTTTTCTACTGTCTTCTAGGGGGTAGGGATGGAGAGTGAGGGAAGTGAGGGGACAGATCTGTCTGTGGAATTAAGTACTAATTATAAGATCAATTCACTAGTGCTTCAGTTGGAGCTTAATATATTTCAGTTCAAACTGTTCTGAGTCAACGAGGGCAAATTATCTTCACCCCTGGAATAAGCTTTGTAATACTAAAAGATTGATTTGGTTCTCTCTCCCCTGCTAATTCGTAACACAGAAAGTATTAAACAACTTTGTGCAATTTTGTTGTTAATGTAGTTGTAAAATTAAGCCCTAGTCATAGAATCATTTGGGTTTGGGTTGGAAGGGACCTTAAAGATCATCTAGTTCCAACCCCCCTGCCATCAGCAAGGACACCTTCCACTAGATCAGGTTGCTCAAAGCCTCATCCAGCCTGGCCTTAAACACTTCCAGGGAGGGGGCATCCACAGCTTCTCTGGGCAACCTGTTCCAGTGTCTGACCACCCTCACAGTGAAGAACTTCTTCCTAATATCTAATCTAAACCTCCCCTCTTTCAGCTTAAACCCATTTCCCCTTGTTTTGTCATTAACTGCCCTTATGAAAAGTCCCTCCCCAGCTCTATTGCAGGCCCCTTCAGGTACTGGAAGGCCGCTATAAGATCTCCCCAGAGCCTTCTCTTTTTCAGGCTGAACAGCCCCAACTCTCTCAGCCTGTCCTCACAGGAGAGGTGCTCCAGCCCTCAGTCCTGGATATAAATTGCTAACTTAATACATACATGCCATGATTTTCACAGAGCCCAGATTCAATTTGCCTTCTCATCTTGATTGCACTGATTTTCTCACTGTCTCTTGGCAATCGTATAACATCCACAGTGAGTGGACAGATTATTCAAATGAAACTAAAAACTCTACAACGGCATACAGAAAGAAGTGGCTCTTCAGTATGATGTAGGTCTTTTTTTTATTAAAATAAGATTCTTTCAGAAGCTCAGTGTTCAATTCCCATCTATCATTGCAGTTTGTTAATAGCTAAACCTGTTTGGTTCCTCTCCCCATCTTATCTGTCTTTATCTATTGTAAATACAAAGAATTCATAAAATTATTATGTCCTGGGTTTGACTAGAATATAGTGCAACTTCCTATCTGTCAGCTGTTTTGTTTGGTTGGTTGGTTTTGTTTTTAATAGTGTATTTACTTGTTCACGATGACTGGCAGTCTACAGAATTATATAGGTCCACTTGTGATATGATTCCAAAAACAAAGCCACTGTTTCCATAGTACAACGGAGCAATTACTGCTATATAGCAACCTCATAGTGATTTTTCTCCATTGGGTTCAGCCATACCCTTCTGACCAAACTTCTCCATGCATGGTGCTGTTGAGCAACGTGAGAACGTGATACTGACATCTCTCAGAATCACAAACTTAGAGACAAGAAAAAACTGGTGTTTTTTCTTGTCTCTAAGTGTGTGGCAATGTGGGTGGTTTATAATTTACACTGACTGGATTACGGTCATTTGGTAGGGATCTGAATCTATCTGAACTTTTACCTCTGTCACATGTTACATGGAAGGAGAGTCCTGCTTGCTGCAGCCTGGGGAAATGGTGGTGGTCAGGAGGGCTTCTCAGCTGGTACAGGCTGAGAGAAAGGAGTTGCTATTTTCAAACCTTGCATCTCTTAATTAAAACCTGTGTGTGTTCTGCTGCGTACCACCCCACCCCTTGCTTGCTTTAACGCTAAGGCCATCTTTAGTTGAATACTATATAATAGAAAACATGCTGAATAGCTTGGACTTCAGACCTCGCTTGTTTAACCTACCAGGATTTGAAAAAAATGCAGCCTTTGGCAAGAAAGTAAAAAAAAAAATCTTTGTTTTGAAGATACAAACTTCATGTAGGTTAAATAATGCTTTCTGTAGTTGCCTGTGGCATAGGTTTTTTTGAATCCATGCGAAGAAGCTTGTGCGGAGAGTTCCTGAACAGGCAGCTATGAACCTTACCTGTCTTGGGGCTTTGTGTGTGTGTGAGCTTCACTCTTATCAACCACCTGCATGGGGCAGAGGTGGGACGTGGAAGTCAAATCCATCCTTTGTATGCCACTTTGAAATGCTGCAAATCCAGAGCTTGTGTCCGCTATTCAGTGAACTTTCCTATGGGTAGCCAGAACCCTGGCTGGAGGAGAAGGCATTATCATAGAATGGTTTGGGTTGGAATGGACCTTAAAGATCATCCAGTTCCAACCCCCCTGCCATCAGCAGGGACATCTTCCACTAGACCAGGTGACTCAGAGCCTCATCCAGCCTGGCCTTAAACACTTCCAGGGAGGGGGCATCCACAGCTTCTCTGGGCGACCTGTGCCAGTGTCTCACCAGCCTCACAAGAAGGAATTTCTTCCTAATGTCTAATGTAAACCTGCCCTCTTTCAGTTTTGAGCCATTTCCCCTTGTTCTGTCATTAACTGCCCTTATGAATAAAAGTCCCTCCCCAGCTTTCTTGTAGGCCCCCTTCATTCTTCATCTGTTCCTGCACCCCAGTTTCTTGTCTCATCTGTAGCTGAGCTATTGCCCATTGCCCAGTACAAGTAAGAGGCTTTGTGGAGATTAGACTTCTACTTTGTTCTGTCCTGTAAGACAGAAGATTATTCATCTGGAAACTGTTGGGAGGCCTTTATGGAGACATCTGAAGAAGGTTCATGACTCCTGTGTAGGATGCGTTCACCTTGCTGATGAGCAGCGTTACTGCATACCAACCTCTGTATTGGACATGGTGGGGTTTTTTTAAGGTTAAAAAAAAAAAAAAAGTACAGATGTCTGCAAGCAGGCAGCTGCTGCAGGAAGGTGAGGAAGACAGCTTTCTAACCCTTCTCCTTGCCCACATGCCAAGGCAGAGTGCTGCTGGCTCTCAACCAAACCTGTGGCACTTGATAACTTGTTCGTTAACTGAACTCTGATGCTGGCTTCATCTGCTCTTTGCACACTTAGAAGAGCCACAGACTGAGTCATGAGCAGGACAGAATTGTTACCATGTGGCATTACTCAGAGGCAGCATTAATCATAACCAGACACTAGCACACTGGTTTCTGGAGAGACTGGAGGAGTCTGCCTTGTGCACATACTGCAGAAAGTGTACTCTTAAATGTTCCTTGCTGAACACGTGTACTGTGCCAGGTACTGTGCCTCATTTCAAAAATGAGGGAAATCAAAGGGGAAGTGGTCTCTGCCACGGACAGCACAAGCACTGCAGCTGTGAAATGAGAGATGCTTGAAGTGAGCAGCTTAAATGAAACCACCTTGCAAAATACTAGGCAAAGTAGTGAAATACTTCTGCAGTTTCAGTTACTTAGTTACTTAGAATTGGTGAATTACAAACAAGTGAAGTTGCAGCTTTATTTTTATTCAGTGCACTTGAACTGATGGGTTAAAAAGGAAGGAGAGGTGGTCCATCAGCATTTTCAAATGTTTTGGATACTTTAAACCTTTGGAAACATGAGAAATTCTGCAAGTCTCAGTGGGAACAGTGTTCCTAGGGAGTCATGACATCTGAGTTCTGACTGTATGGCTTCACTGGTATTGGGAGAAAAAACTACAATTTTGAAGATAATCCTGTGCTGCATGTCCCACCTGATAGTAAGAGCAGTACATGGAAAAAACACCTGACAGCTCAGGCTTTATATTTAGTGTAAAGGAAGTTTTGACAAAAACTGTAAGCTGTGCTGCTAGGTGGATGTTTGGTTTTTTGTTTTTTTTTAAAAAAAAGTTCATCTCTTAGGGATGTTGTGACTTTAATATCTTCATATTCTGGGGGCTTCATTACCCTGGGAGCAGGGATTTTGTCTAGGTAGTCTCTCATTTTCTTGCTTCAGGAGCATATAGAAGAAAATATAATACTTAGTTCAGAAGGAAGGATAAAAGCTGAAAAGCCTAGAATTCCAAATTAAAATGCTTAACTTGAATTTAAAAAGAGGTAAAGAAATATGAAAGAATATTATGCCACATAAACTGTTAAAAACGAATAGTTTAAACAAGGACATATCTGGGAATTGAAGAATTTCTTCTTAGTTTGTCTTTTGGTTTGTGGGGCAGCATTGGAGAGCAGAACTTAATTTCAGGAATGGAAATACTTACTTGGTATGTAATTTGGGCTCATGTCTTTCTGGTAGGAGACAAATATCCTCTGTTCCTCAGCATTCACAGTTACTTAATGTTGGGGTTTTGGGGAAGGGGGGGTGTGTTTTTGTTTGGGTTTTTTTAAGTTCCTTGCAGGAGCAGCATTCACCTTCCATGCATGTGGCAGTCAAGCTTTTAAAGGTTACCTAAATAAAAGGAGTGAGTCTGTGATACCATATCAACTTACATACTTCCATAATTGATATCAGCTTCATTAAGCTAGTCCCTGCTTAAAGCCCTTTTATGGCGAACTACAATGAATCTTGCTACCATGTTTGAACGTCAGTGTGCTCATGTGCAAAATCTCCACAGGAACTGGCCTCATGAAGCTTGCTGGATGTGGCTATCTGGCTTTAAAACAGAAGCAAGGGTGGTGCCTCCT